TCGGCGTGTCGTTCTATTAGAGGTTTTACGGTATATCGTTTTCCTCACTTTCAAATGTTTACATTTCATTGTGTGGTAAGCCAAAATTCCGCTTCTCAAGTATCTATTTCTCTAAACCTCTTCTCCTTTTTACTATCTCGTTTTGGTTGCTCTGGCAACATCCCCTTCTGATTTTCTAAACCTCTTTTTTTTCCAGAAAATCATTCTATTTCGATTTTTAGGCCTAAAACATGGATCCTCCTGATTATTATACAAAACCTACGAAATTCAAAAATGGCAAAATGACAGACTTGGGAATTGGACGTGTTTTGGAATATATGAGTTTTGAGAGAAGGTGAGCAAAATGCTTGAAAATTTGAGTTTGTAAAGAGATATTTTGGAATTTTCGAAAATCTCGAAATTCAATTTTATGTCTAAACTTAAAAATGAATAGTTTTTCGAGCTCATCGTTATCATTTATGAATTTCTGAGACTTTGAGCTTTAAAATGAGCCTAATCATGCCTAGAATCGCTAAACTTTCAAGGTTGCTGCCTAACACGCGACGCATGACCGCGACGTGCTTGAAAAACCAGAGTAGAGCAAATCTAGCCGTGTTTGGGCTCATTTTGAAGCACTCCGCGTGAGAAACTCAGAAAGGTAAATTTTGTCGAATTTGGTCGTGTTTGAAAAGAGATATTTGAAAATGTTCGAAATTCTGAAAATCTAAATTTATACTTATACCCAAAAGTAGTAGTTTTCGAAGCCCGATGTTAAACTATTCAGATTTTTAAGATTTTGAGCTTTAAAATAAGCCTAATCATGCCTAGAATCGGTCAACTTTCAAAGTTGCTGTTTGACACGCGACGCACAACCGCGACGCAAGTCGAAAAACCAAAGTAGAGGAAATCTAGTCGTGTGTAGGCTCATTTTGAAGCTCTTGACAAGCCAAATTCAAAAATCGAGGTTTCAGAAGCCAAATCGCTATCGAATGTCCGACAATTCGAGGAATCGAAAAAAGCACTCCGATGAATCTCGAAAAACTATGTTTTGATTACGATGGTTTTACTGTCAATTCCACCAATTATTCAATACTACCTGAATTATGGAAAAACAAAGACTGGAATAATAGACAAATGATCCAAGAAATTCTACCAAAGGATTTTCCGTTAGGCCTTTCCCAACTTCCAGAATATTTGTACAGAAAACAAGATTTCGGAAGTTCGGAGCCTCCATTTCCTCAAGAATTCATCTTAAAAATCAAGAGAGATAAGGATGAGCAATGTTATCTTCTAAAAAAGGACTATTCAAATCTTTCACTTTATCTGGCTACGAAGAACTTCGCTACTGAATTTTTTGGAAAAAACCGGAAAATTTACACAGGGCTTTTAGAGCTAAACAGCCGCCTATATGGGCCAGATGCAACGATTTATAGACTACTAGAAGGTCTAGAAATCTATCCGACCAAAGTGAAGACTCGTGGAGAGCCCATGGACCAACTCGGCCAAATTTTGGCGCCAAACCATGAAATTCAAGTTTTCTCACTTCCATTACAAGGAGTGAGGCCTCATATTTTTGGACATCCATTTGTTATAAACTCTAAGAATTGCAATTACATGGTAGCACCTTCAGTGATCTCGAATCATATCTCCAATTTATAAATCGACTACCGAATCGAAACATCGTCATCGGATTCGAAATTTTACGCAGAGATTTCCCTGGGTACATTCGGAGAGGGATTACTGTACCGTTGGCAGTCGGAACTGAATTTTCTTGGATACTTTGGGATGCGAAGCTGAGCGAAACGTTGAATTCGCTGAAGAAAGAGTTACAAGGGTTTGCGATTCGGGGTGAGGAGGGAGATGAGAGGTTAGTTTCACAAGACGCTTTGAAAGGGGAGGCCCCCAGTCATAGACTAGGCTTGGCCATGTCTTGTATTCTGTTGTTTCTAGTGTGCAGTGTCGATTGTTGACAATAAGGCTTCCAATTCGGTCGGTCGGCTAAATTTCCCGACCGAATGGAAGCCTTAGTTAACAATCGACAAAAATCGACAAACTCGTCATACTTGCGAAAATCGTTGAAGGCCCGGCCCGGCCCGGATGGCCCGGGTAGGTAATTAGTGGTCGAAATTTATCAAAAAAAAATTTTTGGTTCCGGGCCTTGAAAAATTTTTTGAAGCCCCGGCCTGGCCCGGCCCGTCTATGGATTTCGTCGACTCGATCTGAAATCGACAAAAAACGATTTTTCAAAAGTCGATGAAAGTGAAAATCGACAAAGCATCGACAAAAATCCATTTTGAAGTGGTGACCGAACTTTTGCAAGTTGGGTTTCCTAGGCCACCACTTCAAAATTACCTAAGAATGTTATGACCCTGGTGTGTTTTCTAGGCCATTTCGAAATGGTGGCCGAACTTTTGAAATTTTGGTTTTCTAGGCCACCACCTTTTTTCGACCTAGAAGAGGTCAAATATTCACGTGGTATGACCTCCTTTAAGCCGATATATCTCATCATCTGTAAAAGATATCAAAAATGTGCCAACTGATAAAATACTTGTCATAATATCAGCAATATTTTATCAGTTGACCCGGTTTTGATATTTCTCACAGAAAACGAGATAAACTAGCTTAAAAATAGAGATTTGAAAATTTCCAGATTCCAAGACACTGTCTACTGCATCGCAATCCCAAGAACCGATGGCGAGACCGAACTTCAGCTACTCCAAAAAATCCGAATTCGTCCCAAATACGCCAACAATCCGGATATCCGTTTTCACGACAATGAAATCCGACTGCGCGTTGTGCCACGTGGCACTTCAATTCCAGCTGATGCCGACTCTGTCGAATGTGCGCTTCGACGCAAGAAACATCTCAAAATGCTAAAATCGCCATTTTACCTCATCGGAGGGATTATTATAGTGTTTTTGGTGGCTTTGGCTCTATTGATTATCATTCCTATTCTACTTATAGTCTATTTGTTGTACAAAATCACTGAATGGGCTAAAATTATCTGGTATTTTTCCCGAAACAAAATTTGTCATATTTTTTCAAGGTTTTCAAAATAAACCATATCATTTTCCTTCTTTTCTGAATTTTCAGCTCGAAAAATAACCTTTAAAATTTGCAGGTGCAAATTAAAATAGCTGAAAATTTGACAAAAAAAAACGAGTCTAAATAGGCGGTGGAGATATGGGTCTGCTAGACTACAAACTACAAGTTGATATTTAGCAGACCAACGTCGCTATTCTGCCGAATAGTGGCTTTTGGGCCTGCTAAACTACAAACTACAAGCTGATTTTTAGCAGACCCAAATCGCATTCCTGCAAGAAGCGAGTTTGGGTCTGCTAGGCTACAAACTACAAAACGAACATTAGCAGACCAAAGTCGCTATTCTGCCAAATAGTGGCTTTTGGGTCTGCTAGACTACAAACTACAAGTTGCTATATATCGGACCAACGTCGCTATTCTGCCAAATAGCGGCTTTTGGGTCTGCTAGACTACAAACTACAAGTTCATATTTGGCATCGCATTTCTGCAAGTAGAGAGTTTGGGTCTGCCAGGCTACAAACTACAAAACGAACATTAGCGTACCAATCGCTTCGAAAGAGATTTCTGTCGCTTGGGTTTGCTAGACTAAAAACTGCAAGTTGATATTTAGCAGACCCAAATAGCATTCCTGCAAGTAGCGAGTTTGGGTCTGCTACACTACATACTACGGAAAAAAATTAGCAGACCCAAATCAATAACTTGTGATTTTTTTTTAAATAAAATTTTCCTTTTTCCCATTTTTTATGGTCCAAAATCTAGATTTTCAGTGTTTCTGTCCAGCTAAAAAATATCTCAAAAAGTTAAAAAAAGATCTCAAAAGGTGTCTAAATTAAAATTTACTGTCTCAACACACAATTTTTCTCCATAGAAAAAAAGAGCTTCCGGAAGGTATAAAAAGAAGAAAAATACAGTAGGAAACACAAAAAGGGGCGGGGAATTTAAATTTTTAGAAATCCTGGAATCTTCTGGTTTCTTCTAGTGCTGCTTCATCTCGTATGGTGGAATGAGTCCTGACGATTCGGCGCGCGCCTTCTTCTCGGCTTCAATCTCGTCGAGGTATGGCTTCAAGTACCACGATTCCTGGAAAAATCAATATTTAGAGCATTTTAGACCAAATTTCGAGAATTTTCAGCCAATTTTGGAGCATTTTTTGACCTATTTTAGACCAGTTTAGCTCAAAATTCGAGAATTTTCTGCCAATTTTATAGAATTTTTGATCAAATTCGAAACATTTTTGACCAATTTTGGATCATTTTGCACCAATTTTGACATTTGTTATCAATTTTGACATTTGTTATCAATTTTAGAGCATTGTCATCAAATTTAAATTATTATAGCTTAAATTTTAAGCGTTATTGCCCATTTCTATGACATTCTTGACCAACTTTAGGGTGTTGTAGACCGACTTCGGAGCATTTTGAGCCAATTTTGGAGTATTCTAGATCAATTTTTAAGCATTTCTGATCAATTTCAGAGCATTTTAGAGAGAAATCAGAACTTTCTGGATCAAACTTAGAGCATTTTGAGTCAAATTTTAAGAATTTTTGTCCTAATTCGCGTTAAAAATGAAGAATTTCGCAATTTTTTTTTGCGTTAGAATCCGTCGATTTTGATCTAAAATTGCTCAGAAAAGCAAAAAAATCGCGATCAAAACGTATAAAATAGTGACCTAGGATTTCCAGGTCTTGGTCATTTTCAAAGCCAGAAATCTGTAAAATCCGAATTTTGAGCTAAAAAAGCACGTAAAACCCTCAAAATTTTCGAAAAATCCCGATTTTGAGCTAAAAATCGTCAATTTTTCTACATAAACGCAAATTGGGAGCTACAAAATCGATTCTTCAGCCAAATCCATTTCTCACCTGGTCCCATTGAGTCCATTCGGCCTTTGGAAGCTTCTCACCGTGAAGAGCAAGGGTGTGGGCGCGGGAGAGGCGGACCTGGAAGGAATTATTTATTTTAGGGGATGTTTAGCCCATTTTGTTCAATTTTTCGAGATTCTGGGCTTAAAATCGACCAAAATAGTGGTTTTCAGCCGATTTTTCCAGCTTTTTGGACCAAGAACCTCACCTTTCTCTGATCGAAAAGATGTGGCTCCTTCAGGTTGAGACGACGAAGAGCCTCGGTGACTTCTGGAGCCGGCTCGAAGTAGGTGTCGTGGAATTGAAGGCCGTACTCGCGTCCGCCCCACAAATTGGTCCATGCGAACTTGCGGAGAGTGCTGGCGATGGTGCCGTTGTAGGCGAACGAGATGGCCTTCGAGGCGGCTTGACTGGCCATGGTTAACCTGGAAAATTGAGAAATTTGAGGAAAAAAATGTGAAAAAACGAGAAAAATTCGTGTAGAATCGGTCGAAAAGTGGCTGAAAATCGAAAAATTCGGTTTGAAAAGCGGAGAAAATGAAAAAAATGTTTAGAGAAAATTTTTTAAATATTCAAATTCACTCCAAAATTCGTCCAGAATACTGAAAATTAGAAATTTTTCACTGCTTTCTTGCTTAAAATTCTCAAATTTACATGAGAAGCACAGAAAATCCATTAAAAATCCATCGAAATACCGAAAAATCCATTTTCTGACTTTCACCTATTCATTCAGCTATTTTTCCACATTTTTCAAGGTTTTTCGGGTCAAAATAGGTCAAAATAAACCATCAGAAATTCAATTTCCTAGTTAAAATGCTATAAAAAATCAAGAAAATCTTCGAAAATTGAGAAAAATCCATGTCAAACTGTTTTTCCTATTTTATCGATTATTTCCCACATTTTCCAAGGTTTTTCGAGTCGAAATTGGTTTAAAATCATCAGGAATTCGATTTTCCAGTTAAAATTCTATGAAAAACCCAAAATTTCTATGAAAATTGCGAAAAAATCGGCGAAAAACGATGAAAATAGGCGCATCGGCGGTGTGGCTAAACAACGCGCGCATTCGTTATTTCGGAGTGTCGTACTGGGATTTTTTAGGGGGAATTCAAAAATGAATTTTTGCAGCTTCTAGGATTTTCAGTTTTTTCAAGGTTTTTCATGCTGAAAAAACTCGATTTTCGAGTGTTTTTCAAGTCTCAAAAGCGAATTGACCATTAAAATATCTGAAATCAATCAAAAAAGCCAATTGTTACAGCAAGAATCACATTCATTTTACAAAATTTTTCAAAAATTGCTCATAATTAATTTTTTTTAAAAATCAAGGGGGGGGGGGTACTGTAGCTTAAGTAGTGACTAGCAAAGAGTGATATCAATAGAGAATTTAGAAAACGGGGAAAAAAGTCATTCGGGATCAAGAAAAGTGGTCTAAAACCGGGAAAAGGCCTAGAAAGGGCCTAAACGGGGCCTGAAAAGCCTAAAATACATTTTTAGATAGAAAAATCTACACGTTCGGCGAGTGGGAAAGGTCTAGAACTAGCGGCTTGAAAGAATTTGTGACAAATCTTTGGTATTCATTTTCAACGGGGGAATGGCCTGAAAAGAGGGCCTGAAAGGCCTTAAAAAAGGCCTAAAAGGCCTTAAAATATCGACATTTTGTACACGAAAAAAGTAGGTAAAAAGTGAGCGGAATGGGACGAAAAATGGGCAAAAAAAAAGCCAAAAAAAATCGGAAAATATTATTTTTTCAAAAAAAAAACGAAAATTTCAAAAAAAGAGAAATTCTTAGAAGAAACGCATTCTGGACTGCTTCTGGGTGGTATTCTGGGCGGCGAGTAGCTCCGGATTACGTTCCATCACACGGGAAATCTGGAAAAACCATTTTTTATGAAAAAATCAATTTTTTTGTTGAAAAAATTCGAAAATTTGAAAAATCTAAAAATCGAGAATTTTCAAAAAAAACCCCCCGGAAAAATTTTATAAAATCAAAAAATTCTAAAAATTTTAAAAATTTAAAAATCAAAAATTTCTGTAAATTTTTTTAAATCCAAAAATTCGAAAAACTTTTGAAAACTCTGAAAAAAGTTTTTCCTAAAAATTCCATACTTGTGAAATTTCGGCCCGGGCCGGGCCGAGAGAAAATTTTCAGGGCCCGGCCCGGCAGAAATTTCTAGTGCGTTTTTTTCTAAAATTTCATTGGAAAATTTTTTTAAAATTTAAGTTTCGAAATTTATAGAAAATTTTCTTATAGAAGCTTTGATTTTTTGAAGAAAAAAGTGCGAAAAAGTTGTTAATTATCAATTTTTATGCCAAAAAAAAAAGAAAAATTTGATGTCCGATGGTCCCGAAACGAAAACTACAGTAGCCTGAAAAATAATTTAAATTTTCTGGTTTTTTTCTCGATTTTCTCAACGATTTCACAGCGAAAAAATAGAAAAAAGCACCGAAGAATATTATGAATCGGAAAAATTGCCCGAAAACAAAAACTACAGTATCCCGAAAAATAATTCAAAATTTGCCAATTTTTTCTGCAGCGGTTATGTTTTCTTTTTGTTATATTTGAAAATTGTTATGATATCATGCTGTTTTTGTTTTTGAAAATGAATTTATTGATTTTTAGAATGTATTGAAAAATAACTCGAAGAAAAAAAACACTGAATACCTTTTTTCGAAACAATGATTCAACTTTTCGCTCAAGATTTTGAAGTTCGCGGT